GGTTACACCAGTAGGAAGCAGAAAAGCCTGATTTCTAGTGGATTTACGTTGTGCCACAGAGACTTATGTTGCTAGACGTTTAAAACATTTATATATCTTCATAGGCTTCTTTTCGTAGTTATTGGATATTGAATGTTGATATAGTTTAATGTACTCAATCGTTTTGCCCTTATTTTGTTGAAATATTTTATTGATGGTGTGTTCAATTAATAGCGTTCCACGGACAAAGGAAGCTTATATATAAATTAGATAAATAATTTTGTACTCATATATCCAGCGTTCGGCTGGAGTTTGTGTTCTCCGTTCGCTTGAGGGGGAGGAGGAGCTCCTTTGTTACAACTCCGGCCTGCATGAACAATCCAGCACGCACGGAGCATGTGCCGAGCTCAGCACAAAAGCCGAAGTGGACCAAGCTCCCCTTCTCTGACGACCGTTTTCGGGAGAGATCCGACGCTAACAATATACCTCACTCGTTTATTGTTAGTATTTTCATGTTAGGACATGGACATGCCCAAAAGGCCTGTGAGGATGCCCACAGGCCTTGTGTTGGGTAAACTCCCAGGTGAGGGGAGAAAAAGCGGGTAAGAGTGCCCTGTAGTTCAATCTCATCGCCAATAGTGTTTTACAAGAGCACAGGTACTAACGTTGCTATGTGAAAAACGGTTTTCCAACATTTAAGCTTGGTTTAAGCACATCCTTTGTACGAGGCGGGTTCAACACGACACCTTTATTGTTTCCGATGTGTATTACTCCTGCCTAGAATTGACCAGAACAGGCGCAAAAGGCTGCCATGATTCATTGACCTAGAATGCAAGCAACGTGAGTCGATGGGAAGAGTTCGACGGAATGTCACCTGAGGCATCCGCCGTCGCCCTCCAATCAGATGACAAATGGCTGCAGCCACGAATGCTTCCGCGAGCGAATACCAAACTGCGAGCAACTATGTGGCTGAACTTTCTGGTATTTATTCAATCATGGCCCTAGAGACGGTTTTGTTTTGTATACATTCATTGCTATAGGTTCCTCCCAAATTCAGAGTGGCACATCAGGAAAAAACCGTCCGTCACGTGATTTCAATTATCGCATGTGTATAATGTTAAAAAAAAATTAAAGTCGTTTACAACTCCCTGTAACGCCGAATTAGAGCGCAGCTCTCGGGGAGGAGGAGGGGAAGGTACGGTCAGGCGGCTATGCCCCTCCTCCTTTCCTGCTCGCCTCCCATTTAGGGAAAATTGTTCCGCTAAATTTAGCGGGAAAATTTTTCCTCTAGATTTAGCGGGGAAATTTTTCCGCCAAATGTAGCAGGGAAATTTACCCATAACGCACCATGTGGTTACGCCGACGCCGACTGCGACGGTGACGGCGACGCCGACGCCGCTCAAGCCGGAAACGGGTGCCTAAGAGCTGCGCTCTAAAACTTTTGCTGCATTGTCGACATCCTCACAGGTCTTTTGGGCATGTCCATGTCAAAACATAAAAATACAAAAAAATAAATGAGTGACGTTTACTGTTAGTGTCTGATCTTTCCCGAAAGCAGTCGTGAGAGAAGGAGAGCTTGATCCACTTCGGCTTTTGTGCTCAGCTGAGCATATGCTCTGTGCTTGCTGGATTGCTCACGCAGGCTGGGGGGGTAACAAACGAGCCCGTCCTCCCCGTCAGGCGAACGGAGAACACGAACTCCAACCGAACGCTGGCATGGCGTTCGGATAAGTAAGCCGAGTTCTGAGTCCTTTTTATTCGTTGCCCCCACCAGTGTAGTTTTAAGGTTAGCCGCTTGGGGCGCCACGGCCTGATCTTTTCCCCAATAGTTAGTGACAGATTAAGGACGGTGGTTCGTGTCTTCAAAAAGCTAATACTAAATACTAGTACTAATGCTACTAATTATAATACTAATACTAACACAGATGCTAATACTAATGGTAACTGGGAGCTTAAAGGGGTCATGAAATGAATCTCTCACGTTTGCCTCGGCAGCTCTCCTCCTCAACTCAAACGCAAAATGAGAAATCCCTTGGATGAGACATAGCATTTCCCGGTAACCGAAAGTTCTCCCAGCCATTTAGGGTCTCCAGGCAGTTGTCTTTGAATGTCGAGCTACCATTCTTACCGACCGGCAAACTGAGTAATGTCTGCTTTCATCAACGTCAAATTATAGAAGTGTCAGATTGTTGACTTTGACGGCATTGGTTTCGGAACGCGATAACTCCCAAGCATCCACCGCGCTGTTTATTCCGCGGAAGTGATAATAAGTGCCGTCACAGCACTCAGTGACCCACGGACGCGAATCCAAGTATTCTTCGACGGATTGATCGTCGACGAGCTTGTACGTCCATGTCATGCGACGGTTGTTTACAATGCGTGAGCTGGGACCGGCTGACTTGCTTCGGGTACCGAGGACGTATTGCAGTGACCTTCGAAGGAACGGAGGTACTAAATAGTTCGCCATACCTTCAAATATTCAAACCAAAAAACGGGCTTTTGAGTGACTTCTTCTTTTTGGCACACCCAATAATGTGTCATTAGCAAGATATAATTCTAAAATTATTTATCCCAATCAGAAATCCATTTCAGACCCCTCAACTAAGGTGGGGCGTGATAACTCCCAGCCATCTATCACATTATTGGACTGCTGTCAATGGGATTGCGTGACAATCTAATACAGAGACCAAGTTTGTCTGCTTTTCGCGAAACGGTTGCAGTGACGTCAGAACATCAAAATCTGATTGGCTGTTATTGGAAAAGTGTAGCTTCACCTCAATGCTAGCTACATTTAGGTCTAGCCACCATCCTTCCTATCGAAGCCAATCAGATATCGGCTTCCTGAAGTCAACGCAACCCCTGCGCAAAAAAGCAGACGAACTTGCGCTTCGGATACGGAGGTGAATGAAGTAGTCGCGAAGCGAGAATATTACAAACCTTGCGTCCCTTAATCTGAGTGTGGCTATAACAAAGACTTGTAATTCGCTTAGTTTTCCTAACTAATATACCGTTTCATTCTGGTACTGTTTGCTATTGCTTACGTCTTTAGAGGAAGTCCAAGGGTAATAAAATATATAGAATTGGTCCACAGTACACCACATATACTTTCAAAAATTTATACCTTTAGTATTTTTTTTGTTTATTCTTTAGCGTTTCATACTCCGCCACTCTGTTACAGTGGCCCTAGTGCGACAACATCTACGTTGAAAGTTATTCAGAAAGTCAAGTTTACTGAAGCAAATATAGCTTAGGCTAGAATACGCCCCTTCAGCAACCGCAACCGGATGACATGATCCGCACAGTGCCTAATGTTTCGGTCATTGCTTTCATCTCATGTGTGCTTCACGTAAATCCAAATCTACGCTAATTTTATGCTCATATCAATTGAATCACTATTAAAGATAAGGTTGTTGTTTTCTCAGAGAATACGGTGTACTGGTGCCATGGAATGCACAGGCATCTCGACCTCACCTACAGTTTCCACGAATACAAAACCCACTCAAAGTGCGTGGTCAAGATCGCAGCTACTAGGGGCGGTGCTCGCGATTTGAATCAATAATTCTCGCCCCGATGGAAGGAAATCCGATCCCTCGGTCCGCGCCTATTCAGATTAACTGCTTTATCAAATTTTGTTTTTCATCAAATCAATATGAAACACTTCACAATGCGCACCGCGCCCCCACAACCAGCCACCGTTTCGGTCAATCGAACTGAGTGGGTATTTCATATTGATGAATACTGTACTACGATACACAACGGCGATAGTAAGGCACAAGTATTGTGGCCTGGACTAAGGAATACCGTGTGGTGCGTAAAGACCGCCTATCAAAGTACAACGGAGTTTGGAGTTCCGAAGCTAGGTAGCGGGTCAGAGAATCGCCCCAATTTCTCCAGCTTGGCAATCCTAGCGGCATAATACGGGCCTAATGCGGGTTTTCTCAAAGGCGGACGTTTATTCCAATATACTATTTCCTAGCGTATGTACGGACTTTCTTTGGATCGCCACATAGTTGCCACCAAAAGAGAGCCAAGGATATCACGTATAAACAAAACAACCAGCAGTAGACACTAAATATATATCATGCATATTAAAAATCACGTAAAAATGACTGGACAAAAGAACGTTGAAGCACACAGGACAAGAGCTAACTGGCAACTACAGTTTATTGAACGCTTCAAACTTTGCTATCACTGTGCACGCGTGTTTTCTTATCTCAACAGTAATCCGGCGTACCGCCAAACCAGAAGGTATAACCCGACCACCCCCTGTTCAAAAAGTCGGCGAAGCCGCCACATCATCCCGCCGCACAACCCAAACAAGCAAAGAAAACCACGCAGTGGTAATAATTACAAGCTAGATAGTGTTAATGAGGCTGTACTTTTTGAATGGCATATACACCGATGCAACTCGAACGCAAACGTCTTTGTCGCAAGCATGTATTTTTGCCGCCTCCAGCAACTGTCTTTCTAACCTTCCTTTGTTGCGTACCTTCCCTTGCGCATCGTCCAGCATGGGGAAACAACCACAAGTTTTGTAATGCCCCGGCAACTGAGTACCGTAATTGTTGCCAAGAGAAGCCGCATGCTCTCCAATTCTATCGTTTAAGCAGCGTCCCGTCTGGACTGTATCAACACGACCACAAGTCAAAGGAATCACGTAAACCACCACAGTGGCTATTTTTATTATGAATGTGAATTACCAACTTCCCCAGCAGACCAAGCTTTTACAATACCTTCCTAAAGATGTCCTTTATTTGGCAATCTAGGCCCAAAGTTGTCGCATAAATACAGAACAACCAGAAGCGAATCCAATCTATAGCAGTTGTTTGGCGATATGTTTGGAAACAGCGAATCATAGCATTGGGACGTGTTTGGCAAAGTAAGGGAGAGATGCCCTGACCCCGGCCGAAGGGTTAAGTTTTGCTCTATATTGGATTCGTCGGGCATTTTAAGGCCCTGAAGTTTACATCCAAACCTAACTTTTTGGACCAAAGAGCTGTAATACACGACAGCCCACTCACCGTTCTTTCTCCGAGGTTATTGACGATGCAGTGCAGATACACTGTCTGCGCCTGCTGTGTTGTGACGCTTCTGGGAGTGCTGTTGTCGAACGCGGGCTGCTCGATATCCGGGAATAGCTTGGGGTTAACCAGCTCGGGCGCCGACACAATGGATGCCTCGGGAGATGCCGACCGGCTGCGGCGAGCTCGGGGCAACCCTCGAGAAATGGCCGAAGGGCTCGGCGACCTGGACTCGGCTGGCTGCGGCCCCCTATACCGGAATGACACTGCAATTGAAAGAAACGAAGAAGAATACGTTGAGACTCTTTCCGCCTTTTTGTTAAGTTGAGATAGAAAGGGTAGAATATATGGAGCTAGAAGTAAGTACGAAAAATAGAGTTCAGGAAATGTGTGATTCTAAAAAGAGACAAGGGCCCAAGGAACCCTGGGAGAGCAAGTGGTTGGTCTATAAACAGTCGTACTATAAGAAAAAACTAACCAAAAATATGTCTTATATAGTTCTTCATATTTGTGCCCCAAAATAATTACAGCTGTCTTATGTTTAGTGCACTATATAATCAAAACAAAAAAACATTATCATAGCATATTCACAAAAAAGTTATAATCAAATTATAAGGTTATTCCATTGATGGTTCTAGGATGAAACTGAAGTACAGCAATCAAAGTGAGGAGTATCGATGCTGCTATATGATATCTGAATCCGAGTAATCGGTGAATTACAACATGGCGAACGAACGTCAATGCATACAGGATATCTGGTACAACGAACGTAAAGATAAAAAAAAATCTTTGATAAGCAATGGCGGCGAGTCAGTGACACCATTTTTAACCTTATGTAAGAATACAAAATCATGAATAGTTGTTTTGATAGACAAACAGTCAGCGAAAATAATTTTAGTATGAATTTGTAATCATAATAGAGGCATCTGTCTAAATATCTATCATAAGCAATACGAATTGGTCTTTTCGGAACATGTTCGATGATCATGGCTTGTGTTTTAGATACGGAGTTTCATATTACTGAAGCAAATTCCAATCGATAAATATTTAAAAAGGTTGGAGTGATGCAACGAGCTATATGGCTTTCTAAAATTCTGCCTCAGGCGTGATAATCTTTCAAAGATTCTCATTGAATTTACTTCCTAGTTGGATCGATTGGCGGCAGCTAGAGTAACATTTTCTGGAGTAACATTTGCTGAAATAGTTGGCGAAAATATTCAAAACCCCATTAGGTGGTGAATGGTAAATAGGAGTATTTGATGCACCTTCACGGAAACAAATACTCCGACTTGCCTCGTGGGAGTGGTCTTATACAAACTTCCAGGACATTTTGGTTTGATGCTTCAAGCTATTCTCTACACTATCAAGATTACATCGCATATCCCGCTTGAATAATTGTTTTGCTGTGGCACGATATATGCTAAATTTGGTGTAGCAAAGAGTGGAACCGTATTTTCGAAGTGCCTGTAAACATTTTTCCTTTTGCGAAGGTTCCTTTTGCGAAGGTTCTTTTTTAAAACCACTGAGGATATATGAATGGTCTGTTTGGAAGTTTTGGCACAAAGATATCCGTACCCTCTTTAACAACTAAGAAAAGCGTCTCGCTAACGCGATTAACATCCGATATAGCTAGAACATTGTCAAAGTTTTCGATACATTTATATATAATTAAACAATCCCCTTTCGGAAAGCAATAAATAGTAGTCCTACATAATACTTGCGTCATAAAACCCTACAATAAAATGAGATGAAACAAACAATATTGATCTTTCCACAAATTTGGTACTGGATTTCGGTTTGATAGTTCCCTCTAAGGTTTGTGCTAACACTTGGATGTTATATTATGTTATTTGTTTCTATTAAAATCTCCAAATATCGTTCGGCCGAAACTCAACAAAGTATTCAAATATATTTTTGTCAATTGATATACATATATAAAAATGCACCTTAAAAAGTTGCTGACAGATATTACTTTAGAATAGCTAGCTGCCTCTAGACATATCAAATCCGCAAAGAAAAACTGTAACATAAATCGCATAATTTCTACTGGTACATTTTTGCTAAAAATCCCTCTATAAAGTTTCAGACTTCCAGTTTAAACCAAATCAAATTTGTTTAAACAACGAATCGGTAATATTAGTTCACATGCTGATAATTGCAGTTCATGACGGCCGCAATCAAACTACACGTCTAGATCGAACAAAAACGATACGTGAGCACTTGATTCGGATTCGTTGAAATCAACGCCTCGACGAGCATTCCGGTAGTGACCTGAGTCCAACCCCTGTAGTGAAAGGAATAGCCGAACACCAATAACGTGAGAAAAACTGCACGTGGCCTGTGATTTACCAACCCTTGCATGTGGCTAGTACAATGAACATTGACGGCACACAGCGAGTACGTGATCACGTGGAAGCTTTTATTTTGTCTGCTAGTTGAGGGGCTCAATGCTGCTTTTTTGTGTTGTTTCTGCAACTTTTATTGTGTGGAAAGTAGTTAAATACTCTTTTCTCGTAGACCATGAACGTCCATTTTTAATTTTATATTTTTTGATATTCTAAGACGAGCTGTATGGAGCACAATTCCGTGCATCTCAGTAGCGCTCCTTGACCAACGATATTTTGACAATAGTTCAACCAACACTGGAAAATTAATCACGAAGCTTGTTCGTGAACATAACATGCAGCACCCCGCGTTTGGTAAGCTGGAAGTGACATATATAAAAATGGGGTATTTACTGAAAGCACACAACTCGTTGCACGGCCTCTTGAAAGATGCCGAGTCATCAAAACTCAGGTTTTAGAATTGTTGGGCAAAAATGAGTATGACATCTTTTATCATCCGAGACAACGTAGAATCCACGGAAACGCCGAAGATGTACTGCTTATTGCGTTAGAGGATTTGGCTTCAATCGATGAAAGTCAGTAGATAGAAATAATGAAAGAAACCAGGCTACACAACTGTGGCTGTGGTAAAGAAGGCCTAGAAATGTTGTGACGTGCTGCGTTGGTTATGTTCCAAATCTTACCGGAGTGATCTGTCTCCCACGTCAGCCGGTAAGATACCAATCGATATCGCGACTAAACGACCCGATAGTGGATTTTGGAACGGCCGGAATTATCGCCTGGATACTGCGCGGATTTGCTTTGTTTTGGGCAGCGGCAAAAAGAAAACAGCAGCAATGGCAGAAAATAGCAGACGACCTGTATTGATTACCGAGAAAGCACTCGAACAGACGATAATATTTACCGCAGCGAAGATTTTTTTCGACAGTAACGACGTGGTGCTTTCTGAGGTGGCTCTTTTTGCTCAAATTCTGTATATTGAAACCAAAGTCACTTATTCCTTTCAGTTAGACTTCCAACATTTCCTCTTTATTAGTCAGCGCAATCGCTGTAAGTTTATTTCAGGTGGCCTAAACGCTCACGTTCCACGCTTCGTAATTTGCACCGATTAGGCTTTGCGTGAATTGCTTTTACTTCGTATAGCGGCACAGCCCAGGGGGCTTCTTCAAGAGTGATATGTAACTTGCGTGCTCTTTTCCCCAAATAGGATTAAACAAATCAAAGAGATAACTTCCAAACAGCTACATTTCTTAGGGAGGACGTTAGGATGGGGTTCTTGACTGGCCATTTACATAAAATCTTCGACGCTTTCACTGCTTTACAAGCGCTTCGCTCTCACACTCCGGTAAAAAAAAAATACTTCCACGTTATCTGCACGTTCGAACATGTTCAGCCTTGAGCGTAGAAATACAAGTTCCCTCCAAGGCCGAGGACGAGGATGCGGAGAAGCCCCTTCTTACGCTCGCACTCTGATAAGAAAAACATGTATACTTTCCTGTGGAAGGTGCATGGTCTGGATGTGGTGCACAGTCAGTTTGTGCGTTGAAAATAGCAAATTGCAATAACCAGAGATACATGACTGCCCCTCATTCTCTGTTATTTCGAGTGCCTGCCACCAAAGTAAACAGAGAAAACAAGCTTTGACGGCCGTGGGCGCAGAAAGCAAATGACGAGCAGACGGCGAATAGATCACGTGACGTGTTTACTCGATTTGATCCATGTTACCGATCAATCCAAGAGGGTAGCGTAAGTAATCACTCCGGAATAAACAACCCGCTTCTAGAACGCGAGTTCTGACGGCGTCGAGTAAGCGCAAGTAAGTTTGAGAACGCGACGATACGAAACCTTTGCTCCGGATTCGGATGGAGTACAATTTAGAACTCAGCCATGGTGGCTTCGTGCGTTAGCATGAGAGGAGATGAAGAAGCCTGCGCCATGTCACGTGTCTTTATTAGCACACGTGTCCGCTGGATATCATTCCTGCTTCTGGTGTGTGACATCTTCCCGCCATTCTTTTCTCTAGCAATCAGAACTAAAATAATATGTAAAAATAAACATTCATTAGAACTTATTTATATTATTTTTGCGTATTCTATGTTACACTAGTAATACTATACTCGTTAACTGAAAACAAAACATGTGTAGTGCGTTAAAAAATTAGATTGCTATAAATAGTGCGTACATTCTTATTCAAACTACGAATTGCACAGATTGTTACATTTCAAAAATTGGTTATCGAAGAAAGGGTAAAAGCACAGGCGAGCTGGTGAAGAACTTCCATCGTAAACTGGAGACACGGAAAAATAAAAAAAACGGACAAAACAACAACAAGTCTCAAACACAGCTTCTAGTTTATTTGAACACCTCCGCTCTTATATATACACAACAACCCTCCTCTCCAAAGGTCGACACATTGGTTATGTTTTCGTATTTATGAAGCCATGCACTTTTGTTCTTAGCATAAATTATATACATAAAAAGTAACGAGTCATTTTTTTTTTTGTTGCGTCATCTTTGATTGCATTTTTAAATTTAGAAAAGTTGATACAAAAAACATCTGCTTGAACACATATAAAAGTTGTTCCGTGCAGCTTGATAACGCAGTCAAATATTATTTTTTTCCAACTGCACTCAACGACCCATCAGAAGCTTTAAACAGATGGGTCTCGTTTCTCACTTTTCGACTGACTCCCCCCCTTCCCGCCCCCCCCCCCCCCACAAAAAAAAGAAAAATATCCAAAATTTTCTTAACTTTTTATATTGTCCCCATCGCGGCTAATTGAAATTCTTTGCAGAATTAGCGAAATTTAGTCTTGCTAATATTTCTGCCATTTGAGACATGTATTATAGAAACTCGGGTAACAAAAAAAATGCATTTCTCTTTAGAAATTGCAAGGATAATGTTTCAAACCTTAATCTGTCTGGCCCCGATATTTCAAAAAGCGGCTTCTGAACGATTTTTTTTTTTCCAAACATGATTTTGCGTTAATATTCCCGCTATTACATTTCAATTGTGAGCGTTTTGTAATCTTAAAGACCGAAATCTTGGTTTTTATGCTCGCTGTCTTGAGGATCAGGTTTATGAAATATATTTGTCTTTCGCAAACAGCCAGTGGCAAGATATTTATTTGTCTTGCAGGGAGTTTCATCGAACATTCAAA